CCTTCCGTAAATTAATCATACACGTTTATTAGATATTCAAATTTTGCAATATCGATCGATCAATCAATAAATCAATCTAATCACGCGATTAGTTTCATAAGATTGCTTCGCCTCTTTTCCTCTCCCTTTTAATATTGATATCGAAACTCAAACACGAAAAACTCCTCTTAAAATCAGCCCAGCACAAAAATCACGCATACACGACATGAGAAACTATTATCATAAGAGATTAATAAAATTCAACGACTCCTTCTGATCATGATGATAGTGTTTTTGTTTTACCACAGAAAAGTCGAGCAAGCCATTTATGTCGATGTCCCTGTTATGATTCTTATAATACATGTACTGCTGATATTTCGGTCAATCTTCCAAATTACGACACATAGCAATACATGTATACCTTAGTTTTCCTACCCCTCTCTCTCTTTTTGTCAAACTCGGGTCTGTGATTAATTTATTTATAATCGCGTGCGTGTGCACTTTTCGTGTATGAGCGTGCATCGAATCAAAGTTGCACATAAAACCACGATATAGTAGTGATGAGACAAATGTCAAATTTGAATTTCTTGATGAATGAAAGAATGCATGTATGCATGTATGTATCTATTCTGAAAAATGAAATTTTATGCATCATTCTCATGTGGTTTTCGTGTGAAAAATCGGTGACAGCGGCAAAGCTCATCATTATCATCATTTTCGGGGTCTATCGTTAGGGAACGAGGGGAAGACAAATTACGGATACACTACGAATGATCATTACTTTTAGAGATTATCGGGATATCCTTTGCATCTATATTTCTCTCTCCCTGACTTTTGCACATATTGCATAATTTGTGATTTATTGAATGCTGGTCAAAAAGTCAAATTAGTTTTTGTTTACGTTTTACTGGTTTATTTGTTGTTTCTTTTGAATTAAATTAAATTTTTTTTATATCAAAAGAAACATGGAAGGTTGGTATGTTTTTATTCAAGATAACATATACGTATAGATAATTTTTGGTGCTGCAATGTTTTGTTGGATTAAAATAGTGAATTAAATAACGCGGAAAAAAGAAATGTTTAAGAGAGTATACTTCACCATTTTTATAAATAAAAGACGCGGCTATGTCAAATAAATACTTGTTTCCAATATTTATTTCTGATTGTGATAATGTTTCTTTTATTTGTGAAATATTAATGAATTTAGTGCGACACGCACACAATACACCCGCGCATAACACAAATACATGTACACGTTTCGGTACAATCTCACCAAAGACGGAAATCAAAAAAGTGGAGAACCTTTGGAACCTTTTGTTCTCTCATTATTTAGAACGAAATTAAAAATTTAAAAAGTTCGATAAATCGAACATTATCGTCAATTCTACTAAATAAATTAATAATGTATTAATGCATGAACGATCTACGTATTGCGATATATGATTACAGAGCTATCTATCTATATGCATGAGGAGAGTGACCAAGCAGGAAAATTTAAGAAAAAAGAATTCTTTTTTCAATGCGCAAAATAAACTCGATCCCGATATGCTCTGTGTTCAGACGAAGACGACGACGAATACATGTACACATATACATATTAAATAAAGTCGGTTTTGATGTTCATACGAAAACACATGGCATAAATTTTAAAAATCGTGGATAGTTCCTATGATACGAAAGCTTCCACACAATTATTTATAGCTATCGGCATCTTGTACACGGGGATTTTGATTATGGTATATGTGATGATTAAATCTTACTCTATACGCGTATAAATTAATTAATTCATGTTTTTGACATGTGAAAAAAAGCGGAATATTATGAAACGCAACCAAAACTAGGTAAGGTGGCTTCATAATTTATTTGTGTTTGTCTATATTTATTTATTTATTTATTCTATTGTCATCGGTTAATTTTAATCACAAATTTACAAGTACTGTAACAATACATTTGCTTATGTGTGCAAATCACATCGATTAATTTTAAGGTTTAAGAAAAGAAAATTAGGGAGGAATTTAGAGTACGCTGAAAATGAAATCGATAATTACAATCCAAGTTTTAGACAATCATGAAGAACATAGTATATAATCGGTTTACGTGATCTTGTACGTCATTTCGCTTCACAAGTTTCCTCCCCCGTTCTCAAAAATCATAATATTAAATCATGATTATCATTGACTGTCGGAATAGACAATAAGATAAATATTCATCTCCATGATACTTTTTTTTATTAAACCTGTTTTTAGTGGGTAATTTATCCTGTCTTGTTACACGATTGACATATGAAGAAACAAGTATGAATAGTTTTTTTCGCAACTGTTCTTTGATTATGGAGAAATTCGGGCAAACGTGAAAGAGGGAAGAAGGACAAGATGGAGAAAGAGTATTGAGATATTATCACTAATGGATTTTGTGTATATATTCCAATGAAATACTGGCTATTCTTGTATTATACGTTACTCTTGATTTTTGTGTTCAACTAATTTTCAAACTCACCAACAAAAAAGTGAAATCATACTTTGTCATACCATTTTCAAAAATGCGGGGTTTAAGACAATGAGAATTAAGCCAATTATGAATGATAAACGGACTAAGAGTCAAAAAAACCCGGTTATAATTAAATGGTTGTAGTGCCTTGAAACTATAGTAAGCTCTTGCATTTTTGACTCCTATTATTGTCTCAAAATTCGCCATCACGGCGTGATTAGGCTAAAGTGAGTTCGTGACATTTGGTAAGCTAACCTTTGACCGTTTCTGATATCGATACTATTTTCAATGTTCAATGCACAAATTTGGAGGGATTGTTATCGACAATCGACCATTTTATCATTCTCATGTGGAATTTGTTTCTTTGGAAACTTGAAACCGAAGCAGAGCAATGGCGACAAAGATTCTGTAATTCTATTTCCTAATCTTTAAAGTAGACTGCAACCTCAAAAACTATTCGGCTTGCTTTTTCACTCGTGCATTACAGTGCAGCAATAATCTGTGCAAGTAAGGGGGATATATTTTTCACTTACAATGAATGAATTATCAGAATGAAAGGCGAGCACAATTGTTAACCGAATATCTATTTACGAAAATCATCAATTGTGTGCAAAATACAAATCAACTACTGGTTGGTAAAGTTTATTTTTTTCGAATTTGAAATTTATTCTGCTACGAAGATTGTCGGCGATTAATGAACAGTTCATGTATGCGCCACAATCCTTAAAAAGTGTATCAAGATATATCGTCAACTTCTTTTACCTTTTACCAAGAATAAAAAGAGAACAAAAGTATGCACATTTGGCACATACACACATGCACGCACATTATTGTGGCTAATCGCCGACGTTAACATCAACATCAAGATAATGAAGTAATCGCATTAAACTCATAAAACGTCGTCGTAGCCGTCGTCTTGATTCAAATTTTCTCTTCGTTTTCTTGGATATACTTCTTGTCTCTTCCATTCATCGTACCAGAGTTCATTATACAATTTGCCGTATAACAAAAGATCCCAAGAACAATCAGATCACAATTACTTCCAAATTCGCGTCGACGCCGAAATCAAAGAAAAGTAAGTCTAAATTTTCATTTTCATTTTCATTTCTGATCTTGCTTTTGCGAAAAAATGTTCTTTACGTTGGATAAAGCCGGATATTAGCTGTACCATGATTCGACTTTATAATGTTTTGTAACTTTTCCATTATAAAGTAGCACAACTCTTTTCTATCATTATCGAGATCCCATCCAGCCATACATACATAGACCCATACAAATAAATAGGCATACACCTACACACATATTCTCCAAATTCATGCTTTAGCAGATTTATCCTCGCCCACAATTACTCCATTACCATTATTATCATCATTCAATACATTTCTGCTACCATTATTCGTTGTTACGGCGGCTGTTGAGTAGTTGCTGTTCTTGTTCCCACACACATACGCATACACAAGCGAACACACGAACACCAAAACAAAAACACTACATTTTTATTATCTGCGTTTCTGCAGAAAGAGAAAAACGGTTGGTTGGTTGGTTGGTTTACTAGATAGAATTCAACGAGAAACACAGTTGAAAGAAACGCGCGCGTGAAATATTTTTCATTTTAATCCGAGAACAGAAACACAGAAACAGTTCCCTTAACACAACACCACCTTTTTTCCTGTTATCAACATCATTATTCGTTTCATATTGTTTCTAGGTTTTTATATTCACTTTAGTTTAAACTACATATCCAATATATATTTTAACGAAAAAAAGGGGCGTCATTCACACTTCTATTTCCTTGTTGATGTACTCTTAAATTTGCTCGTGCTTTTTTATTATAAATAATAATAATAAAATTATTGTTATTATTCTTATTTTTTTATTAGAGTTCTTGTAACCTCTTTTTTCTCGTTTTTTCTTTATTTTTATTCACAAAATTTATATATATCTGATATATATTTTTTCATTATTGTAATTATTATTATTATTGTTGATATTGCCATTACGACGAAAGAAAAAAAAATATAACACACACGTCGACTTTTTATTGTTTTTATTCTTCTTAATAAGTAAACAAACAAACCAGTTATTACCATTACGACCATAATTCTCTGAAAAAGTTGGTCACCTCTCAATTACTTCTTTTGTGTGTGTACAGTAAATCTTAGTAAATACGCAAAACAACAGCCTCTCGTAAGTAGCAGTAATAGAGTAATAATAGTAATAACCCTTCGAGCTTTGGGAAAACCCCTTATTGACTTATCCCTCCCTGAATTTCATCGATACTTGTATATAGTTTATATAAAAGAGACTCGAAGACATTTTTCAACTTCTCTTTTAACCCATTTTGTTATTCCCTAATTTATCCATAATATATTTTTTCGCAATTCGGGAAATACGATACGATATCAACAATCCATTTCATTTACTAACCAAAAAACTTACATCTATAGTCAGATAATCAGATATTAAATAAATAAATAACGATCGATCATCAATCGCCAAATAAATACATCTTATCCAAGAAGAAGATGCTAAGCATGCTTCCTCCCACAGCGAGACAAGCCAAAGCTTCAAAATTATCGCTCGATTTAACCAACTTGCCATCTTTTAACGGAACCCAAAATAATCAATTATCACCTATTTATAACGGGATGACCTCACCAACAACCGCAGTTTCGGAAGCTCAATATGCCAACAAAACACACGCCGAATTAATGGTTATTTTGAAAGAACGGGAGAGAGGTGATTATTGATTGATTATAGAGAGAGAAAAAAGAGGTGACACGAATAAATAGGAGACTTAAGGTGCAATGCAATTTAATGCAAAATTGTTTGTGATGGTGGATAATGATGATGATGATTATGATGGTGATGATGATGATGATGGTAATTATAATAATAAGCACGAATCAAGCCTCGACCAAACAAAATCAGGGAAGGGGGAATTAAAAATCGACGTGCATGATCATCATCTTAACACACCACACACAATGATTTTCATTAATTTCACATGCTCTTAAATCTCAATTTATGATTTGTTGGTTGGGTGCTCATTTTTATCCCGCGCAAATTCTGATCTCATCCTTTTTTTTTTTAATTAAAAGATATAAGTCTTGCCGCGGAAATCGGTAAAAGTCTATTGGAAAATAATATCGCATTAAAGTCAAAATATGATACTATGGTAACTCAATTACAAAATATACGTCATCGTAAGCGACAACAAAGTGGATATGGTAGAAGAACGGGAGATAGGACGGGCATTCCACGAATTGCTCCCCCAAGTAATTCATTAGGAGGATTGGAGACTTTTCCAGAAGAATCGAGTGATTGGATGGATGATAGCGATACTGAATCAATGAACGGATACAGCAGTGGTTTAGAGATGCCATCTCCATCCTTAAAAACACGATCAAGGTCACCTGCTCGAGGAGGATTCACACAAAAAGACTTTGAACATTTAAGGGAACTTGAAATGGCAAATATTGAACTACAAGCACAGCTCGATGCACTCCTGAATGAAAAACAGGAAATGGAAAAAACACAGAAGGCAAAAGTTCGCAAACTGGAGGCTGACTTTGCACATCTTCAAGAAGTTTGTTCGGAGGCATCTGAAAAAATCGAATTACTTGAACAGGATAATAACCGACTTAAAGAAAAACAGAGTACAGATTTTTGGAATCTAAGAACAACCCAAAAATCCTCCGATAATGATAATGAAGAAGTAATTGATCGACTTTTAAATAAAGTAAAAGAATTGGAAGAGAATGTTCACACAATTGAACGAACAAAATCAGACCTTGATAAACGATTAAAACGTGCCACGAAAGAATTGGATACATTACGACCACAATATGAAGCATTGATACAAACGTCCAAAGACTATGTAGATCTTCAACAACGTTACGAGAAACAAGAAATACATATTGTAGAATTAGCAATGGCATTAGAAGAACAGCGAAATCTGAATTTAGGAATGAGATCTAGCACAAATTCACGTGCAGGATCATTTTCCGAACATATGCTTAGACGTCTAAGTGATCCGGCAGCCCTATTGACATTACGAGGCACAACACCCGCTAATGCAGGACAATCAGGAAAAGTGGTAAAACGAAGTTTATTGGACGAATTGGAGAGTCAGTGGTATCGTGATGTATTTCAGGGCGATAATCGAAAACGGGATTCTAAAGGTACGCCACCATTCTCACCGGTGATGTCGGAAACGGATCTAAGTGACTTCTATTCACGAAGTGCCGCAATGTCAGAAGCTGAGGATGATATTCTATCAGCGATGGAATACATGTCGGAGGATGAATTCACATTCCTAGATACATTCAAGGAAGACGACGAGAAAGCAATGTTACGAAGAGAATGGTTCTTCCGAAGATGGGCGCGAGCTATATACCGATTTCTAAGAGCTATTTGGAGGTGGTGTCGATTCCTTGTGTTAATATGTGCAGCGGTGGTGATGGCATTATATCGTGGACCTGACGATGTGTTACCTGATGACATGTAGTAATATAATAGTTGGTTATTGCGAGTGTATCAATATTATTTTATTATTATTTCTATTATTATTATTATTATTATTATTACTACTACTATTATTATTATTATTAGTATTAGCAAAAGACTGTCGATAGGACTTCAATTATTTTTTTTGTTATTTTGCAAATATCCTCCTCCTTTTTTTCTCTTTCTGTTTAGTATTTATAGTTGTTGGATTAGAGAATTTCCACGCGTTGATCTGACGGACGTTTTTTCTCTGTTTATTATTTTCTTCGTTTTGATGGATTGATTTAGTGGAGACGATGAAATCATTTATGAATGGAGGATAGGATGTGATTGATGGTCTCATGCTCGAAAAATATATAGAGAATCGATATGCTCTTTATCGTGCATCATTCTCTATGCATACGTACATGTGACAACACCTTTATATAGAAAAGTAGATTTCTTTGTCATTTTTCTCTTTCGTTGTTTATTATCTCTTCTTTCTATTTTTGTATTATTAAGTTTCAACAAAAAGCTTGTTATGCTTTTATATATATACTTTTTTTTCAATTAAAATCAAATATATATAATTTCTATATCAACATGTTTATACATAGTTTTTCCCCCATTTCCGAATCAAATCACTATCATTGTATGTATTCACGATTCTTGTTATTAGTCTTATTATTGTGATCGAATTGATTCAATTTCTTTTTTTTTTTGCTTTGTTTTTTCTTTCCGATGATGAAGAATTAAAGAAAAGTAGAAGATAATGAAAAAGTAAAACGATGAACTGTGCTTTATTACTTTCTTATGTTCATTGGTAATTCCGAATCCGGATCCAGTATCATTTGCCTTTTTGCTATTCCTTCATTGTCTTTGTCAGTTAATTTTGTTAATGATAAACTGAGTGTAGTGTGATGCTGCTGTGAATATGGCACTGGCAATAAGAATGATGATGACATAACAGTCACAAGTCACTGCATTTATCATCATTATTATTATAGGTTCGCAGAAACTTATATATTTTCGTCAATTGAAACACTTTCGCTCTTTTTCTGACCACAGAAAACTTGAAACTTGTATAAAATATTTTCAATTGAAACCCTCTTCAATTTCGTCTTTTTTTTAATAGAGTCTACATAATTCCAATATAGAACCTTGTAATTTCAAATATGTACAAATTGCGTGTCAAAGTAGGCCATTCATATGATCCATTGACTCATATTCACGTTGTGCCAAACGACGACCAACACCCAGTGTTTATCGATACACCACATTTCACCGGTCGTGTTTGTGTTCGTGTGCGTAACTTCAATGGATTTGTGCCGGAGGGTAGAGAATGTATCACATATAGTCGATACTTTGATGGGAATTCAGATCAATATTCGATACAGGTGCAAGGAAGATTTAAAGGTGGTCCTTGGACCGGAGATGACATTGTGTTTGGGGTAACCACATGAATATTATGTTATTTATTCTTTTTTTGATCCTCAATGTTAATCTAAATCATAACCACAACATCATTAACATCACAAGAATGACTTTGATAAAAAAGTAGAATTACCACCACTTTCTTGGCTTGGACTAAAAGTACTACAAATCATTGATCCTGCACTAGAAGCAGACATTTATGGCGACAAACCATGGGCATACTCGCCACTCCTAGTCACAATGAACACGATTCGTTGTTCGGAAGTTCCAATCGAACTTGATAAAGATGATCCATCTGCTCGTGTGCTACCCAGTTGGCCATCAGGTGACGGGACACACGTGACCGAGGGTAAACTTGGATCTTACGATCTGGCTAAACGACGGAAATATTTCTCAAAAAAGAAGATACGGGCCAATTTTCAAATTAAAGAGAGTCAAGTCTGGGATATTGATTTCTTTAATTCGTATGCGGATTTCAATAACTTTGCTGTGAAATTGCCGGGGTTTAGTGTTAGTCTCGCGCCATTCTGGAAAAAACAAGTATGTTCTTTTTTGTTTTGAAATCAATTATGTGATGCTAAATTTCTCTTTCAAAGCCTCTGCCTTTTAGATACGTTTGCAAGTCACGTGATTCTTCAGCAGTGTTCTTTGTGGTGTTATTCGAAGTGACTTATATTGAGGATGAGAATAATGATGAATCAAGAAAGAACCAAGATTTTCAAATGGAAGATGTCGAAATTAGTGACACCTTGGGCCAAGAACGCGATAAAACACAATCTCCAAAATCACCAACAACAAACACAAATATATTCCAAATGAGTACTCGAAGATTAAGTTCCTCATTTCGCTCTATACCTCAGTCTACAGCTGATAATACTGCTCAAAGTAGTAGAAAAATTTTATCACCACCACCAAAGGAATCAAAGGAATCCTCGACCTCAGAAACCAAAAAACCTTCAAGGTTTTCTAGGCAATCATTGTCTTCCTATTTTACCCGTTCACATTCTAAAGAATAATCTTTAGCTAAATCACCCAATTCACAAATGTAATAATAGCAAAAAAAAGGTTATCCTGTTGTTGATTGAGATGGAAGGTTGTTAAACGGAGAAATATATGTATAGTTATATTGCTCATTTTCAGTAAAGAAAAACATTGGCACTAAAATCATCTAAATCTTGTTCTTTCAAAAGAAATTTTTTTGAAGTTTGAAAGAATATCATTCATAAAAAAAGTAGCCGAGCATTTCGAATTCAACAGAAATTAGGTACCTGAAAGGTTTACAATACAAAGAATACCACCATACAATGAGTAATCCGATATTATTTTCTCAAAAAATGATATTCTTTCAAAGTGTTAATATTCAACAAGAAAAAAAAGCAAAAGGAGCTTTTGTTCATCTTAAGGCAGTCATGCTTTCGACAGGTTAAGAATTTGAATTCGCCAACAATATATATATGTATCAATTAATACGATTTAATCAATTATCTAATCAAAATGACAATATAAGTTTCTTTTTTTCCCAGGTAGAACAAATTTATTATTGAAAAATATTCCAACTGCCAAGAAACTTTTGAATTCTTAGAATTTTATATAAATATATCCTTTATTCCTTTTTGATTAATTAGATTTTACATATTTCTTTTATAAAATTCAATGAGATGAAAAAAAATAAATAGATTGTTTTAATTAATAATATTACAGTTTAGCTCCATCATTTTCTTTAAGCTCAGCATACAATCGATCAATTTCTTTGCGATATTTTCCCCAAATTTTTTGACGTTTATTCTTAAAACTATAGAGATAAAATTAAGATTAGTAAAGAATAAAAAAATAAGATACCATCTTACGCAATAAAATCAAAATCAAACTTACGTTGGTGTCAACAAATCATTTTCGACAGAGAAAGGAACAGTGTCAATATAAATAGCCTTAACTTGTTCGAATCTGTATAGAGAAAATAAAACGCGTAAATAAATTTCGGATTCAAGCTTTATCAATTAAGCTAGAATTAATAATGAATTTAGAATTAATGACTTACCCATTTAATCCTGCTTGTTTACCAACCTGATTCAGATGAAGTACAAGAGCTTTCTGAACCTGCTTATTACTTGAGAGTTCTTGTAAATGTTTATTTTCTCCACCACCAACAGCTTTTTGAGCCCATGGAATGAACAACTCTGGGTTTGGCACTATTATACCAACAAGAGATTTTCTCAATGAATCTCCATGCACATAAAATTGGGCTATTAAAGGGACTTGAAGATATATTTGCTCGATCTAGAGAAAATAAAAATCATATGATTTTAAGAATAAAAAGAAAAGGAATAACTTGATTCAAAAAAAAAATATTCTTACTTTTTCCGGAGCAATGTATTCTCCATTAGACAATTTAAAAATATGTTTTATCCGATCTACGATTACAATGCATCCTCGATCATCTATTTGACAAATGTCGCCACTGTGAAGCCATCCTTCCTATTATTATTAAGCAAATTATTTATCTTGTTTAATAATAAGAAAGCTAAATACTTAAATATCAATATTCACCGAACTTTACCTCATCGATCGCTGCTCTTGTCTTTTTCTCGTCTTTATAGTAACCAAACATAACATTAGGTCCTCTCGCACATAATTCACCACGTGGATATGGCTTATCTTTGCTAGTGTATTGCATCTCGGGTACATCAATAAGCTTAATTTCGGAACTATAATTTAGAAATAATTAATACGTATGAAAAGAGCATACAAAATGAGAAGAACACAAATCAATTGTATTTTATCTGATAACTTAGTTGCTTACCTTATGTGAGGTGTACCAACACTACCCGCCTTATTATCTCCGTAAAGTGTCATGGTGGTAGCAGCAGCATTTTCTGTTTGGCCATAGCCTACATTTTTCATAAAATCGCAAATTAAAATAATATGTATATATTTGTGACTAGATGAAAAGAATTTACCTTCGACAAATATAGCGGAAAAAGCGATTCTTAGAAATTGCAATACATCTATGCCAATTGGTGCTGCACCAGTTATAAGCAATCGAACTTGCCCTCCAATTGCCATTCGACACTTTTTAAAATATTTCTCGTCCCAGACAGGGTGTTTCAGTTCACCCGTTTCTTCAAGATTTTTTAGTTTTTCAGCTACAGCCATCCTCAATAGTTCACCTACTTTACCAGGTGCTTCGATTGTTGCAGCGGCTAATGACTGATAAACTTTATTCCATATCCTTGGAACACCTGGGAACACAGTCGGCTTTAAAACTTGGCTGTCCAGAAGTAATTCATTTGGATCTCCATGGAAATAACCAATACTTCCACCAGCAGCAACCATGACTTCTTCCAAGGCTCGACCAAATATATGTGGCAATGGCAAATAAGAAATTACCACATCATCTTGAGTCATTCGGAATGCTAATATGAAACAGGCCATCGACGCAACGAAATTCTCATGCGTCAATATGGTTCCCTTTGGAGGACCTGTTGTTCCAGAAGTGTACATAATCGTTGCGCAATCTTTTGGCTTAGGTGGATTGTGCGGATATGGATGTTCTCGGCCTATGGATTCAACTTCGTCGATTTCATAAAGAGTCAAATTATATTTTTTGGCCTCATTCTTTAACTTTATGTCCTCTAGAGGATCCATCGAGATTAAACATTTTAAGGTTGGAATTTCTGATCGTATTTGGAATAAACCACGAATGTGATTTGCTGATAAAACTATCGTATGAATTTCTGCATGATTCACACAGTATTTCACTATGTTCGGACCGAGTGTTTCGTAAAGTGGAACAGTTTTTAAGTTAAGCGCAGCAGCAACTTGGTTGACAATATGAAACTATTCATATTCGACGGAATTAATTATAGATATTGCACTAATAAAGAGAAATAAATAGAAATAATCGCAACCTCAGGACGATTAAGAGACCAAACACCCAAAGTAGAGCCAACAATCTTTTTGAACCCAAATTCTTTCTCAAGAACGAAGCAAATTCCACTTCCAAGATTATTTACACGTTCATTGATTTGAGAATAAGTTTGCCATACATAATCGCCATACTTTTTGGTCGATTTATCGAATGGGCGATGTCCAAGAAGTGGTCGGGCAGGATACCGTTTCAATGCTACAAGAATGAGTGGGAGAAATGAGGATAATCATTACTTAAGCGGTGTATTAACTTGGAAGATCACATACAATATTGAAATGCTTCGTAGATAGTTCCCACTTCTGGCCATGGTCGAGAAATTAAAGCATCAGGTGTGAGTTGATGTCTTAAAATTCCTAATTATTATGATATTTCATTATTTAATGTCGAAATTTTATGCAAAAAGTTACACAAGAATTCTTTCTTGCCTGTTTGCCCGTCCTTACGTGTCCCAGGAACTTCGATAGTCTGTTTATCGTAATTGAGGTTTTTATATGAATCTTTAAATTGATACATGATATTGACTTTATGAAAAACAAAACTAAAGTTTTAAGAGAAAAAGATAAAAAAAAACCTGAAAGCCTGTCGCTTTTAAATTTTTTATTAGTCACGAGTTTCTTTGTATTCTTTTGTATAAGGTGGTAGAGCTTTATCTTAAGTAGTACAAGATCTTACCTGGCATAGTATTAGTAAGAGACATATATCACACACTTTTAGTAGTTTTTGATAGTTTTATATATTTGAGGCCAATAGTATTTATGCAGTATTCGATGAACCAGAATGAGAATTTCCAATTAGAATGTTATTGGTCCGAGATTTAAAAATTCTATTTCTATTCAAAGATTCCTTATATGTCTTAGCTATTACCATTTATTCAAATAGTTTTTATAATGACTGAAAAAGAAGGTATTTATGCTTCGTTTGAGATTACATTTGAGATAATCAGAGTTTTACATTTTCATTCTTGTAACTATACTTTGAAATAACTTGTAAAGTTTCCAATCGTTGAGCAGATGCAATTATTCGCGATAGACTGGCTGTCGAAGAGCGCACATTACGTCGCATACTTAAGCGACACACATTATGGAAGGGCGCCCTTCTCGTTGGAGATATAGAATCAGCGTAAGCCTTGAGGGAATTACTTGTGACTCAAAAAAGCATTATTGTAGTTGTTGACTTGACAATGTTAATAGTGACTTTAATACTGAAATAATAGACAAATCCAATATAATGACTTCATGCTCGACTTGTCGTCATACGAGCTTTATTTAATGCGCTTCCAACTTATCCATGATATGCATGTGAAAGAAAGACAAAATTGGATAGATGAAAAGAACAGGATTGGTAAGTGCGAGTAATAAAATGTTATCTAAAGTAATACTATGATCATACATAATAAGTGTTTCTATTATTAATATTCTAGAGGGTGAGATTGAAATAGGGAAAGATGAAATCATCCGATTACGAGATGAATTAAAAGTAGAGCAGGAGCAACTAAAATTCAAGACGGAATATGATGAATTGGCGCGGGCTATTCAGCAGCACACTTCGCGCCAAGAACTAAAGGAGTATGTGTATCTTTGATATTTTTTTAATATTTTACAATCAATTCATCAAATATTGATTACGAAATTTTTCCCATTGTGTTTTCATGCAGAGATATCAAACAATTGGATCAAGAAATCGCTGATCTCGAACAAAAAGTTCGAGAAAAAGATGAAACTCTCTCTAGACGACGAAATCAAATAGAAGGAATATTATCGATTGTTGCTCGTGTTCAAGAAGAAATAAGAGAAGAGAACAGTCAAGAGGAACGGTTGACAGTTTCCTCTCAAATAACCTCAACAGAATCAATAATTAGTCAGAGTCATAGTCCTATGCCCTTACCAACATTATCCACTCCCGCACTTGTTTTGAATGGTATCAATGGACATGAAGATGATGCGCTTATACAAGGCACGGTTGAAAATGAAATTGAAGATAATATCTCGCTTTCGCATCAGGAAATTCCAAGCTTACCCTCACCAATGGGTGAAAATCAAACCAACATAAATAATGTTGATCGTGAGGAGGGTGAAGCTTTGATTGAAGAAGGTGAACATGAAGAAGGAGAAAACAATCAAACAATATCTGAATCAGAAGAAGGACAGAGCCAAGAAGAGGATAGGCACACCGCTGAGAACGCTTCTGTTCAAGAAACTATCAGTCTTCGAGAAAGCTCAAGTTCACGAGGAAACAATAGTCCGCAAGAAACCGTTAGCCCGCATGAAATTCTCAGTCCTCCCGAGAATGCTAGCCAAACGGCGACTATTAGTCCCACCCCTTCTAATACTGTTAGTCCAATTGAACAGGCTAACTCAACAGTGACAGCCAGCCCACAAGAATCTGGTGATCATGGTGGAGAAACGGTCATTGATGTGGAAATAGAGGAGGAGGAAGAGGAATTTGAAGCGCCTATTGTTGCTATAAAAAGAGGCCTCGAGGAGGACGAAGAGGATGACCATAAATCTGTGGCGTCATCATCAACAGCAAGATCATCAAAAAGAAGTCGTCTTGATGAACAAGATGATGAGATTAATCGTGGTGGTGACGATTTGGGGGAGGAAGAAGAGGGGGCTGTTAAGATGGATGAGTAGAAGGAGAATGGGAGTATGTAAATAAACATTCGAACATTTAGATTCTAATATGACATTTTATTAAGCGATGTTAGAAAAGGCGGCGATATTTAATATCACTAATTAATATTAGCAGTATATCAATAAAACACGAATTTAGCATTTTGTAAAGATGATAAAAATTTATTAGACGCGTCTATTCATCAAGTATCACATGTTCTGATCATATAAAAGAAAGTAATTTTATTCATAAAATTTCACAAATGGCTTCAACGATTAATTCCCAAAACAAACAAGAAACCTTGTATCAAAAAGCTTATACCGGACCCCATGCCACATTTGCTAAAATTTTTCTTCGGCCTGGCATTAACTTTGATTATCTAGAAGAGGTAGCCTCAGACTTGCTCTCCTCTGAAAAAGAGTATGGTGAAAAATATACAATTGATACGGGATTCCGCATTTTTCTCTTGTTTCTTAATGTGAGCATGGCGAAACTTGCAACACGAGAATTGTCTACCATCGAGAAGATTATTTGGGTCCGTACGTTGCTTCGAGTTTTTGAAAAACAGGCTTTTCTTGGGTTTGTGAGCGTTGGAGGCCTTTTGTATGTAAGTTTACTTAATATGTTAATTCAATGCTGTAGCCTGTATTTATATTTTTTTGCTTTGATTGAAAGGAAAGGCTATCAATTACATAAAGCAAATCAACAAAGGAGAATCTTTGGAGAACTTATCAGCGAGGTGGAAGATGTATTCATGGAAGGACTTGATAAGATTCTTGATCAGTATTGCGGTGCATTTGTTAGCGGTAGTGTATATGTAGAATTTAGGTTACCTAATTATTTTTATTTTTCTAAGCTCTCGATTCTTCAGATGATGTAACAGACACGATTGCATTTCTTTGCGGTCGATGCCTCTCATTCATTCCTACTAGGAGATTGCGACATTTGAAACAAAAGGTATAAAAGTATAATAATAGATCCCATTAGGATTTTTCAAGAGTCTGAATTTTTTCAATTTATGAACTTAGGCAAACCTTTTAGGGATTATCACAATCGTAATTGTATCTAGCCCGCGTACTTTTCAAGAGGGACAATTTATTGGAGACATTACTAAGGAAATTGAGTCGCAACAAGAAATAAAATGGACGGTACTATCACATCTCTAATTTGCAAACTCGTCATCGATACGATTCAGCCTCTTAAATCAAAATATTTTTATTTCATTGATAGAAAGAGTTTCAGTCGTATAAAAATTTACAAACCCTGAGTAAGCAAGCTCTTTTCGCTGAAATGGGACCAATCTCAAGAGCGGTAGGCAAACTGGTCAAGGTTATCGAGAGGGAAGATCTAATTAACCCGCTTTATCAGTAAGTGTAATTTATTCCAAAAAAAATCCATAATATGTTTGGATATTCGTTACTCATAAAATCTTTATGCTTTTAGGATCAATAATTTTGCCCATAATTTGTATCTTCTATGGGAGAAATGTCCACTCAGTCAGGTTAAGGAAGAATTAATGAGTAATTATCAGAAAATTTTTGAATTCAACTTCGAAATTATTATTAAAATTATGATTATCATCAGATGATGAAACAAAAAAAGCTACTCCATTGCTTTGGCTGGTTTTCAAAACAATTCTTTTCACAATTACGATGATATTCAAAGCTATTGTGGACAATTCACTTGTGAAGGGTGGATATTGTGATACAGAAGGAGGTGAGATTCATTGATTTATATAACATAAGGATCTTTTGTACTTTTTCTAATGAGGTGTCTTTCTTATCATTCCTCTTCTTCGTAACAGAAAAACTAGATATGTTGCTGACTTTTTCTTATACTTATTTCATCACAATTCGTTTCGATTTATATGGATTTTCTGTATACAAAGAAATATTCCACACTATCTTAAATCAATTAATGGAAACTCCGTCGTTCTGCAATGAAATTCTCAATATGCTCAAACATATTGAAGTGAACAACCCTATGGCTGAAAATCGCATAATTTTTTATTTTCTTGTGGCCGAGCAGATAATGAAAGTACTTGAAGATAGTATAGTCGAACGAGAGCTATTGCCTACATTATGCCTGTATGTTTTTGATTTCCGCGTCAATACAATATCATAATATTATTGTTATTTGTTTGTTAATGAAACATTATTTTAAAGATATCTTACAGATAATTCAAATCTATATTTGTTTGAATCGGCACATTCGACGGTATTGGCGATTTATATTACGCAAAAAAGTATTTCGAAGGATTTCAGTTCTTACTATTCAAATTTACTACTTGAGGTAATAACAAAGATAATTATATGAAGGTTTTTCGTTTCACTAAAGTTAATCAATCGATATTCCCTTTTATCAAGGGATATCCAGCGTATCTATCAATTGAACAGCTTCGGGCTGCTTATACCACTATGATTAAATCGTTATCGGAAACTGATGATGCTTTAGTTTGGTATTGTCTAGAAAACCTATTGGATAAAATAGAAAGTCTTCCAACCTCTTCAAATCTAGAATTGTCAGAACAGCAGTCTACTACCACTGAGACCAATAACAACGAAACAAGAGAAAATCCAGAATCTGATTCATCAAGTATAAATTTAAATGTTAGCGAAAAAGATGTCGTTTCAACAGCATTGTATCTTCAACGTGGCCATCTTCTGCTCACTTTAATCGATCAAGTGGGAACAGTCAACTTAATTTTCCTGGAGACTTTATTATCTAAAATTAAATCTTTGATATCATTGGAATCGAACGGAATAGCAAAAAGCGCGCTCCAGAAAGCATTATTTGACGTGCTGAGCAAAAACTTGGATTATACAAAAAAAGATGCGGGAGTAAAATGGTGGTTAAATGAAGGGCGAGAAATTACAAATGAGATTCAAGCTTAGCTTTCATTCTGTATTAGGAGATTGTAAGGTAATTAAATAATCCATGACTCCAATTCAAAAAGATATTTTTGTCACATCAGCATCATTAAATTTCTGAAGATTACCACTACTATTTAGAAGTGACATCACTACTTTATATTTTGCGCGGATACGTTCAAGCAGGTTGTGAACCTCGGCATTACGATTATTTTCTAATGGAAATTGAGCAATTAGATTGTGAAGAGACTCTAATTGTTTTATTGTCCTATTATGTCGAAATAAAATTGTTCATTATGCGTTCAAGCCAAATAAGTGAACCAAAAAGATAATGTTACTGCTACGATACCGTTCATTGAGACTTTTATGCTCAGAGTCTCCAGAATGTTGCGAAACTATTCGGGACCATGTCTCGGCCACTCCCTTGTAGAAACCAACCTCTTGAGCAAGACGAAAGCCATGTGTAGAACCCAGTATGAAACCTTCAAGCATACCGGCAGAATTTCCGTCTCGTAAACCATCCTCCCTACCATGTTCTAGAAACCTGAAACGAAATGATAAATAAGTATGAAAGATTATGAAAAACTAGTAAAAATCTATTCTATTTTACATGTTTTCTAGGTGAATCAAGTCATCCAGATCTAAATCAGTATTCATTTGGGTTGTGTCGAAAATTCGCAAAATCTTTCATTACATCAAAAAATCACGTGTCACGCGAGACTAAATACGTAATGCACTTTCTATCCAATAGCAATTCGAGTTCTTAGCCAAATAAAAGATCAAAAAATTTTTTTCAGATTTCTTTGTGAACAAAACCACTTAATCCACTGAGAACAAATTAGTTCGTACTCGAAATATTTCCCTATTTTCGACTACGCGTTCCCGTTCTCTAGAATAATTAAAGTCGGTTGTAACTTTGAATATTAAATTCTCTATTAACAACGATGAGTCTTTACTTAAAGGTGGACCATACATTTTGTAATAAAAAATATCGATTTCTATTTATTCAATAGTCAAACCTGGATAGTAAAAAATTTGCGGTTTATCGTTACTATATATAACTGTTCCTGGAACCAACTTCAGTTTATCTAGATTTAATTAGTGCTTCATCATGTAAATATAGTTCTTCGTTATTGTTAATATTCTCAGGATAGAAATATTAAAAAGTTGCATGTCATTATTAATCATCATACATTAGCGAGTGTCATCATTTGAACTTTAAAATATAGATAATTTACATAAAAAACTATATCTAGCAAATATTTAGAGAGCTATTAGCTAAATAATAATAATAATATCAATTAAAAAATTACAAAAGAACGAACGATGCTAATAAAATAATTTATAGCTTGAGGTCCTTTGGTTTTTCCCAAGGAAACTGCAAGAAATGAATAGAAATAATTAGTGTCAGATTATTAGTTGATCTATTTATCACCTTAATAAAAATATATGAACACACCTCACTTCTTCCAAAATGACCATACGCGGCTGTTTGTTCATATTTCCAGCCATCTGGTTTGTGAAGACCAAGTTCACGTACAATTACACCGGGACGCAAATCAAAATTATTTTTGATTATCTTCAATAATTCCTCATTTGATTTATCTGAAGAACGATAGGTATCGACAAAAATAGAAAGAGGTTCGGGTACTCCGATGGCATAAGAAAGCTGAACGAGTACACGTCGTACGAGTTTTGCATGTACCAGTGATTTAGCAATCCATCGTGCTAAAATTTGATTAATAGATTAAGATGTAGACTATGCGCAATGTCTCAAATGAGTTCGTTTTATGTATTCTATACCTGTATATGCAGCCGAACGATCAACTTTTGACCAGTCTTTGCCCGAGAAAGCACCTCCTCCATGAGCACCATGACCTCCGTACTGAATATATAAAAACGTATTAACAATTTTTATATGAGATAAAAGTAATAATATATAGAACCGATCATCCTTACCGTATCTACGATGATCTTACGACCTGTCAGGCCAGCATCGCCTTGAGGACCACCAATTATAAATTTGCCAGATGGTTGCATATGATAAATAGTCCTTGACGTAAGATACTTGGCAGGGATAACCGTTTTTACTACTTTTTCTACAAGTTCTTTTCGAAGCTCTTCAGTTGTGATTTCGGGGGCGTGTTGTGTAGAAATAACGATAGTGTCGACTTCGATCGGCACCAGAGCACCATCTTCGTTCTTATACCGAACGGTAACCTGAGTCTTGGAATCCGGGCGAAGCCTATGATAATATAGATCGAAATATAAACTTACTAAAATCTCTTAAAAAATTTAAAACGCGTCCTTTTTTGAAAAATCTAACATCAACTTACCATGAAAGAGTACCATCACGACGTAGATCAGCCAATTTTCGATTAAGTTTGTGCGAAAGTATCAAAGTCAATGGCATTAATTCCGGTGTTTCATCGGTCGCATATCCAAACATTATACCCTGATCACCTGCACCGATTTTTTCTAGCTCTTCGCCTTGTTGTACAAGACCTTGAGCGATATCCGGTGATTGTTGCTCTATAGCAACCAAGACATTACAGGTATTATAGTCGAAACCCTTGGAAGAGTCATCGTAACCAATGCGTTTAATAGTATCACGAACAATTTTTTGAAAGTCTACTGTGGATCTTGTCGTAATTTCGCCAAAGACAAGCACTAGACCAGTTTTACATGCTGTTTCACACGCGACTTTTGAGAATGGGTCGTCTTTGAGACAAGCATCCAGTATGGCGTCAGAAACTTGGTCGGCAATCTTGTCTATGAGTAAGAAACGAAGATACAATTTTTGACTTAATCAACGTAAAATGGTTGTTTGAATTTCTACTTGAACTACAAATATTATAATTACCTGGATGACCTTCGCCAACAGATTCGGATGTGAAAAGAAAAGTTTCGCCGGAAGTAGTAGACATTATTCAAATTGCTATAAGAAAAGCTGGTAGTAAATACGGGTGCCAAGTTCAAGATATATCATTATGTAGGAATATAAAATATTATATACGAATTTTTTTATGGAAAATTATTTATGATTTGTGTAATATATCTATCATTCAACATCGATAAGATTAGATGGGTTGGGGGTGAAGAGCAATATTTTTGCCTAAATTGCGCAATTCCTCACATGGCCTTACATGTGAATTCGAGTGAGTGATTGATCGATTTAAATAGATTAACGAATAAAGTTGTATCTGTCGTGTGCGGCTGCAATCAACTAGTCGGCCAGCCGGAAGACCAGTATTTAAAAACGCGCTTTTATCAGAAACGCGTGTTCTTATCTTACATTTTTTACAACTCACTTCAAATTTCGTGTTATTCAAGATTAAAATTGCACTAAAACTCTAAAAATAATAATACATTTAAACAGAAACAAAATGTTTGAAGCACGTTTAAGCCAGGGTTCACTGCTCAAAAAAATTCTCGAGGCAGTTAAAGAACTAGTGACAGACGCGAATTTTGACTGTAGCGAGACTGGCATTGCATTACAAGCAATGGATAATTCCCATGTCGCGTTAGTTTCCGTGTTGCTAAGGGCTCAAGGGTTTGACCCATATCGATGTGATAGAAACATGCCTTTAGGTGTAAACTTGAACTCATTAAATAAGATTCTAAAGTGTGCCGGAAACGAGGATATTATCACGTTGAAAGCAGACGACTCGGGCGATACCTTAGGGTTGATATTTGAGAGTCCAAGTGAGTATATTACTAGAAATATAAAAATAGGTTATAATTCACGAGTAGGAACTAATTGAGCATCCTGCATTCAATTTATAATATCCAAGATAATGATCGAATTGGAGAATATGAACTTAAATTGATGGATATTGATCAAGAGCATCTCGGTATTCCCGATACTGATTATGAAGCGATTGTTCGAATGGCATCAAGTGAATTTCAACGAATTATGCGAGATTTAACGGTGATTAGTGAATCAGGTAATTGATCCTGAACTTTATCCCAGTATTAAATAATAAGCTTTTTATAACATTAATTGTTTGTATAATAGTAACGATTGACGTAGAAAAGGAAGGTATAAAATTTACGTCAAGTGGAGAATTTGGCACCGGTGCTGTCACACTTAAACCTCATGTGGATATTGACAATGTTTGTTCTATCTATTTCATATTGCGCTTTTATTATTTTTCACAGTTTACTGTCCCCATTGACCCGCTTTCGCTTTCATTTTATTCTATTATAGGAAGAGGCAGCCACATCGATCGAACTGTCGCAATCCGTATCTCTCACCTTCTCCTTAAAGTATCTTACTCTCTTTTCAAAATCAACCCCATTGTCAGATCAAGTCACCCTATTTTTGTCAGATAATGTTCCATTATTAGTTGAATACAAAATGGGTGATTCCGCCTATATTAGATATTATCTGGCACCTAAAATCAACGATGATCAATAGGTAAAAGTTATACAGTCCCTAACTAATTTTAATGGTCTTTCAACTATTACAACACTTTAATTATATATGTCTTTTTGTTTTTTAATATGTAAATTTAATTACAATAATAAATAAACGCAAATTTTTGCATAAGTTTTAAATATTATTAGTCCTCGTGTTGATAATGGAATATCTATTTTTTTAAATAGATAGATTTGGTTAATGAGAAAATAAACATTACGTGTAAAGAATAAATCAGCGGTTTTCATATAGACCAACCTTAAAAGAATTTACACCGTAGATCAATTTATTATCGTAATAATGGAACTGCACAAAACAATTATGACACCAGTAACACGGTGTCTCTTGTGAATTGATATCGTCCAGAAGCACATAACTAAAAAATGATAATTTAATTGAATGTGAGGAATTCAAAGTCCTGGTCATGGTCACAAAAAGAATGAAATTTATGATACATACTCTGCTGGTCGTTGCTTGCATAATCGACATTTGTGATGTTGAATACGATTGCGGAATATTACTTTTGGATAGTTATCTGCATTAAGATCTTCGTGTTTCATATCTGGTTCTAATAGTCTAATAATTAATTATATTAATAAGAAAAGCGAATTGTGAAATAATTAATTCATATCAACTTACCGAAGATCTCTAAATATTACCGCATGTTGACAATTTCCTTGATGACAAAACAAGTAAGGTTCATTTAGTCGAATCGAGAGATCAATAAATTTAGTTTCTCCCATGACTTTGGTTTGGTATCGACCCAATTTTGGATCTTCAAACCGATTGTTTTCGTTAACCCAATTAATAATATTTCTTTCGATTAACAAGATGATTTAATTAAGTAACTTTACGTATATCGCGAAAATAGAATTAAATCATAAAAAAAATACTCACTCGCTGTAATCTAACGCATCAGGATCTCTACGATCATTGTAAAAAGTGTTCTCAATAAAGAAATAACTCGGCGACTTTTTCTCAAGATCGACATTCAATCTTTCTTCAGAGTCAATTTCTCGCGATATATCAAAACGCACGAAATCTTGTTTACAATAGAATTTATCTCGTAATTTGGTTAATGGTTGACTTCCCAACACGAGAAACTCTTGCATTCGTTGTGCGGGTCTATGTTGATCGTAGAATGCGACAGAAAGTATAATTTCGGATTCTGTAATTTGGTTGATTTGTGACACTTCTGTCTTGTTTGGCTGAATCAATTACGATTAGAAATTTAATTGGTGGAATTAGTAAGAAGATAGATATTTGGCTAATTGAATATATGATGCTTACTAAACGCTTGGGAACATGATTAATCTCATGCCGTGTTTTATGTGAAGTCTTATATCGATTGTCTTTTCTAAAAAAAAATATGAAAATACGATTAGCTTTAATTGGAGTGTTTGTAAATCATAAAATAATTTATCTACTTTAAGCTCGCCAAACGAGATTTTTCAATCATCCTCTCTAATTTTCGAGCTTTATTTTTCAACGCGTTATAACGACGTTTCTTACTTGCAGGTGATTGATTAGGAGAGATACTAGTATCATTAGAAAATAATTCATCCAGCCAAGAATCGTCATCCGGTGTCGATCTTGTTGAATCTGAAGCTTTTCTCTTTTTATTAAGCAGACTCGAAGAATTTATATCAGATTCTTTGGGAGCTATTGGACGTGATTCTTGCTGCATTGGTGGAGAAATTGAAGATGGTTCTGTTTTATCCGGAGGTGAATTCCGTACTGTATCAGGGCTGATAATAGATCCAGTTGTTTTTTCTGAAGATAGAATAAATGCGATCGAAAGAGATTCAGGGCGTGCAGTGATAGTAGCAGAATTATTATTCATTTCCAATTGATCAGTTTTCTGGAACTCAGAAGATACTATCGTTTTGATTTGTTCATTGTCAGATTCAGATGATGAAGTATATAAATACGGATTTTTTTTCCTTTTTTGTCTTGTATTATCCACATCACTATCAGAAGATATAGTGCTTCTACCACTATCAGTATCGCTATCTTCTTCATTGTCGTCGTCGTCATCGTCGCTTTCGTCGTCATCCTCATCATCAGCATCACCACCACCACCACCATAAATTTTTTTCTCCATGTCGACTCTATAGTGATGGCAAAGCAGTGGAAAGAATTGAGAATCGCTAAATAACTCGTTCGAAGGTTCAAATTCCTTGAGTCTAAATTCATAATAAAAATACAATTATTAAATTTCCATCAATTATAATTTAATTCATTCGATTATTACCCGCATTTTTCTTCAATTTTTTTGACTTCATCTTCAGCTAACTCATATTCCACCGATTGATTAAAGTAATTCGTAAAGACATTAGTGGCATTATCTTGGTTTTCATGAGTTTTGCTCTCTTCCACAAACTTTTCAACAAAAGACTTCCGAAAATCTCGAATATTAAACAGAGCAGAAGACGGGCCGTCTTTCTTTAGATACCAGTATTTGTCTCTTTGCACGGATTTATCAGACGCTTGTTGCAGCGCTGTTGAAAAAGCTTTTTCTGGAGGTCTTTTCTGAAATTTTTTTAGACGGGATACTACCGTTTTTATATGGTCTACTGTAGTCGTGTTTGGATCTTCTTCGATTAAATTAATGCAATCATAGTAGTTGTCAGTCATTGTGAAAATGCGGAAAGGCAATTTAGAGTGCAAGTTATCTTTGGTTGCAGTGAAAAGGCGATCATGTGATTCCGATCCCAATGCCGGTATCCGTTAAAGCCGTGTAGTTGCACATGATATTAAATCCGATCCGGATTAAGATGATTACTAACCATGTGATCATACTCATGTGATTTGTAATATATTCAATGATTGGACAAATTTCACAATTATGATATAATTATTAATTAAATCTGTCTTGGAGCATTAATAAAAAATGTCGGGGAGGCAATTTTACGTATAATCCTAATTTTTCCTAATCCTAATACTAAAATTAATTTTTAATATCTTTAGCCAATCAGAACTTTAAATTGTTAACTTGGATGAGATAATGTATCAACAGAGGTCAATAATATTTACTGTGTTATCAAGGTAAAGGATACCTATCACGTAACGAAAAGAGAAAGAAAATTAAAAGAAAACCAATTACATGATTGCATAATAAAAGAATGAGACTAGTAACACAATTACATAATGAATGAAGAAAGGAAACTAGAAAAGAGGAAACTAGTTATATGATCACGTAATGAAAGGAAGAAGAAAATTAAAAGAAAATTATAAGAAAGAAAATTAGTTACACAATTACATAACAAAGAAAGAGATTAGCAACACGATCGCATAATGAATGAAGGAAGAAAACTAGAAGAAAGGAAACTAGATATACGATCACATAACAAAAGAACGAAACTAGCAACACGATCACGTAATGAATAAAGGAAAGAAACTAGAAGAGAGGAAACTAGTTACATGATCACGTAACAAAAAAATGAAACTAGCAACATGATCACGTAACAAAAAAAGAGACTAGCAACACGATCACATAATAAAGAAAGAAACTAGCATGATCGTGTAATGAATGAAGAAAGGAAACTAGGAGAGAGGAAACTAGTTACACAATCACATAACAAAAGAATGAGACTAGCAACATGATCATATAATAAAGAAAGAGACTAGCAATATGATCACGTAACAAAGAAAAAGACTAATATAATTATGTGATAAATGAAGAAAGGAAACTAGAAGAGAGGAAACTAGTTATACAATCATGTAACAAAGAATGAGACTAGCAATATGATCGTGTAATGAATGAAGGAAACTAGAAAAGAGGAAACTAGTTACATGATCATATAACAAAAGAACGAGACTGCAACATTATAAAAGATTAATAACAATCATAATGCAATAATGATATAATAATAGTTATTATTAAAAAATCATAACATAGAATACAAATAAAAATTCACATATTAATAAAACAGAATAAAATAAAAATTCATATATTAATAAAAAATGAATCTAATGATGTACTTAAAGATGCAACAAACACTTTTGTTATATCTGTATTATTACCATTCTCAACCAACCAATACCTATCCTGCACCCTTTCTATAAGCTCACCCACTTCTAACCTTCGTGCCTCTGCCTCTCTTTTCGCCAAAGTCTGATCAGGTTCAAACGTTTCAATTATCTCATGGCGTTCGTATATTTCAAAATCAACCTCCACGAACATCTGCTGGAATCCTTCCCAATCATTGATTGTCAAAAGTTTTTCAGGATCAAAAAGGTGTTGTTGAAGGAGATGTCAGCAAGGAAGCATATAGTGATGAAAAAATTCGCACTCACACTTTGGTGATGTTAGATTTAATAACAGCTTTCCCTTCGTGATCCTCATGCTCATTGCCAAGGTCTCATTTGCGATCAGCTTCTGAATCGGATACGGAAATTTATCAATTTCTTCAAGGATCTCATCATCAAGATCGACTATGAAAATATGCTTACGATAAAAAATTAAAGGTAGCTTTTTTTGAGTTAAATCATTTTTTATTGTCAAGCTCAATAATCTTGTGGCATGTACCTAACAAGCCAAAAAGAAAGAAATAATGATGGTAATACAGTAATAATGATGAATGATGAAAGGGAAAAGTACGATAATAATATTTTAAGCACATACCTATTAAATCATACTTCTTTGCTGTGATTCGCTTAAGTTCGCTATGAAATGATTCTAGCGGATTTGTGAACATGACTTGCAGCAGCAGAGGTGAATGCTGGCGTGTCTAGAGTGTCCATTTCTCTGTATTTTTAAAATAATTACAGTTAATGTAACAAATAATGTCCGGGACGGAACAAGCAGCAATCATATTTTTAATTATCTCCTCATAACTGATTCTCATCCTTTTATGCATCGCCAATACCAATTGATTACGTGTCACCAGGTGATTAAATAATAAATTATTAAAATACTTGCATTTATTGCACACTATTGGATAACTGCCAAAGTTGCTATAGAATATCAGTACTATATTGCTATAGGACTGTCTCACATTAAGTAGACATAACATCTATTAGTAATAGTGAGAGCCTATCTATAAGATAGAAGAAAACACACTGCGTGATGATCCTAAAGTATACCAATTACAACGAGATTGAGTAACCATAAAAATATCATCATTAGACATTGATTGAATACCTACGTCATGATAACATCTACCAGGAGCCTGATCATGACAGCGATAATAGTGACTGTGTGTACTTGAGAGGGTTGAATACTAAATGGTTGGGAGAGAGTATTAAAAAAGAAATAAATTCTGATACTTTCACTAGTTGGGTAAGTATTTTATAAGTTTAAAAATACGAATGATTATTAAGATATAAAAGATGACTTTCACTAGTTGGGTAAGTCAAAGTTAAGTAAATAATAAATCAAAGATAACAATAAGTAAAAGATTAATTAGAAGTATCA